TTTTTTTTTTCAATATATATATATTCCTCTCTAAAAGTGTGTGTGCATAAAAAAGAATCTATTGTAAATCACGGACTAAAACCAAAGAGTGTACTGAAGATTACGAATCGTTATATCCTCAAAATTTGCAGAAATCCATGTGCCCACCCGCAGGATTCGATACTTGACTACTTTTGGCCCTTCTCTAATCTCCCATTATACACTATTAATTTAAGAAGTTTGAATCCTTTAGTTGTTCTCTTTCCCCCGTTTTGATCGTCCAGTCTAAGTAGTAGCTTTGTACCATGATGCTATACATGTTGTTCCTAGGTGTTAGGTTCTAAAGATGTTGTCAATCTTTTAACAAAATTATTGATTAAAAAGAGTTTTTAAAAATCAAAGTGTCAAGTGATAAATTGTATAGGTGAGTTAGAAGTCCTAAGGTTCGAGTATGGAATGAGGAAAAAGGGTCGTCGCAATTTCAATAGTCTATCTGGATATCGCTTGAGCAACACACCGTCGCTCGAGCGACTGTGTATCCCGAGAAAACCTAATTAGCATTTTTCAAGGTTTTTATTCGGTCCATATTACCCAAAATCTCTACACTATATATATTCACGCCTCCATTCGAAAAAGAGGGTTAAACATTGAGAGAAACAAGAGATTACTTCCTACGTATCATTCTAATCGTTCAGCATTCGTTTTGATTTCTTCGTAGCATTGAAAAACATCAACTTCACATAAACCAAACACTAAAACACATACTTCCATAACATCCGTCAGAGTTCTGAAAATCAAGGAAGGTGACCAGAGTTCCAATTGTTGGAGAACGAGAAGTTCTTATTGATCTACGATAGACTAATTTAGAAGGTCAAGAGTTGGTGCAGGAGCACGCAATGCAGGAGGGCTTTGGTTTTTACAGTTAGGAGGTTAGAAAGTGCTAGAATTAGTTGAGTCTAAAGTATTGTAAATTGATTTGTTTATAGTGGATTTTTACTGAATTGGGTCTGGAGTTTTTACCCAGTTACGGGTTTTCTTTGTCAATAATTTTAAAGTGTTATCTATTTTTCAATAATTTATTAATTGCAGTAATTCAACATAAGATAGTTTTGCATCTGAATTCATCTTGATTAATTAATAACTGTGACTTGTTGCATTTATAAATTGGTAAATTTAAATTTCGCATAAACACTTATTCACCCCTCTCTTGATGTTAGTTGGGTCGAACTTCGTTATTTCTAGTGGTATCATAGCCTCATTTTGATTTCTGACACATTTAATCTAGATGAGTCAGTCTCTTTGTGTGTCTCCTTTTTTTACGGAAGCAATTATGCATATTGGAAGGTTAGAATGAGAGCATTCCTTAAGTCTCTAGATGAGCGGATTTGAGTTAGTGTACAAAATGGTTGGACCGCCCATTTCTCTACTATTTCAGGTGTAGTTACCCCACATACATTTTTTTGGACCAATGATGAACTAGCTGAGTGCAATTGGAATAGTAAAGGGCTTCCTGCCCTATTTATAGTTGTCTGTTGAAGAGTTTAGAAGAGTGTCGATATGTGAAACTGTGAAAGAAGTTTGAGATATTCTAGAGATTACACACGAGGGAACCAAAACCGTTAAGAACTCTAAGTTGTAGATATTAACTACTAGGTTTGAAAAAATTAGAATGAAGGATGATGAATTGTTCAATAAATTTTATGCGAAGCTGAATGACAAAGTGAACTCTAGTTTTAACCTAGGTGAGAGAATTCCTGAGTTTAAGATTGTTAGAAAAATCCTGAGATCATTACCTGAAAGATTTAGACATAAAGTTACAGCTATCGAGGAAAGCAAGGATCCAGATGCTGTTAAGATTAAAGAATTTGTTGGATCTCTCCAAACTTATGA